TCCCGAAAAAAAAAATATCCGTGAAAATACACTAATTGTATATTTTAATGAGAACATTTTTTTTTTACTTTAAACTTTAAACAACTAGGTTTTTTTTCTTGTATGTATAATTTCTCTTCATTCACTTTTCTTTTTGTTTAAAATAGAAGAACAAAAAAAGCAATGATATTAGTAAAATTGAGTAATACTTACAGTAAACACTCGATTTTTTTTTTATAAGGTACATTAGCATAATTACAAAAAGACAAGATCGTATCAACGGTACTTGACTCATGCGAAATCACTAGCTATTTTTTAATTATTATAATAGTTCAATGTCAGAGTATGTGATAATTATTGACAGTCAAAAGAAAACAACTTACATTTATTAACATACTAGACTTGTATACATGATTTTTGAAAAACATTTTAAAAAAATTAAATTTTTTTATATAGTAAATGGCTAATTATCGTCTGATATCACGATGAAGACATGTTTCTTATGAATTCAGAATTGTTTTATTCATTGCGGAGATGTACAAAGATAAAAAAAAACATGTTATTCTAATAAACTTCGAAGATCGATTATAAATAATTGAAGATGAGTTGAAATTAATTGTGCCCACGTACTTCCATCAAACCAGTTTGATTACACATCTGTTTTTTTCTCAAAGATAAAGCGCTCTAGTGTTGAAGATAAGTACTGCGTCATTACAACAACTGTCAACCAAATACAATTATATAAATAAAATTCACGGACATTAAGCATATGTACGTCTGTTAGTTCTATACATAAGTCGATCCTCATACGACACGTAACTTTCGAAATAATGTAGACATGATAAACATTTCACGATAATTATTAGACTTGAAATTCCAGAAACTACTTTTGTAATATGCGCCATGAAATTCTCATTGTTATAGGCAATCAGGCTTTCTATTCTATGGCTTCTAGAGCCCATCGGGTTTCGATCCAATGGACTATACTCTAAAAGTAATAGCCAATGATGACTTAATTATTATAAGATCATCTGAGAAATGTGTATGGTATATTAATAGCAGAATTCAGAGACATATTAGACTTAAACTAAAATATTTTGCTGTAGTTAAGAGTATGGTTTAGTTTCGGGTTGAATAACGTTGGACCCGACAAGCTCTAATAGATTCTCTACCAGTATGTACGTTTTCAAACGCTAGGAGAATAATATGGTTTAAACAAATATCCAAATAAGTCTCATTGAATGAAGCAATTAGTGATTTCTGTAATTGAGTTCAAATTCGTGCCTTCCAAATTAAGATTTCATTAGTTCATTCTTCATTAACTATTATCCATTTCAAAAAAGAATGAACTCGGTTGTTTGTTGAATAACTCGGCAATGTTGATAGTTATCGAGCTCGGATTTTAGCCTTTCGAAAGAGCATAAGTGGTGGAACAAGTCTACCTGGGAATCAAAATATTTGAAAAGTTTTTTAGGAGATTCTAGGAATTTTTTGGAAAATCACTGTCTGATTAGCTGTATTTTTCATTTCAATTTAGCTATATTGTAGTTTAATGTTTACTTTATAAATTCCGAAATTTTTAGGCATTTTCGACCTTTTCGTAAAAAATAATGACCGTTTTTACTGAATTTTCGACCTTTTCCTAAGTATTCACCAGAAAACGAAATTACGGAATTTTGACCTGAAAATTTGCCCATAGAACATCCTAAAAGTTTTAGCCAAAAAGTATGTTTCGTTTTCGAAATATTGGATTTTCAATTTCACTTTAAATTATACTTAATCAAGAGAATCAAATAGTGATTTTCCAAAAAATTTCTGAAATCCTCTAGAAAACTTTTCAAGTATTTTGATTCTCAAATAGACTTGTACCCTCCATTCATGCTCTTTCTAATGGCGGAAACCCGAGCTCGATAGCTATACGCATTGTAAAGTTATTCAACAAACAATCCAGTCCATTCTTTTTTGGAATAGAGTAAGAATACGGAATATTATGTATAAATGTGGAATTTAGATTTTTAATTAAAAAAAATACAACTTCTTCAATAAAATACATTCTGAATTAATGTGCTGTATTTAAGTTCATTTAAGTCTTTTATTGAGATCAATAAAAGCGAATAGCATATCAATAAATGAAAAAGAAGATCTGAATGATATATAGTTTCTGTAACTGTTGAAATTGTTTATCCTTTCTTTGCATATGCATAATTGGTTGTTTTGACATTAACGATCCATTCTTTTCTTATATATTGTGAATATAATTTCATACAGTTATTTTAAGTAACAAGCAACTTTTATTTTAGTACAACATCATACACAAAATGATTGTCTATTTAAAATAATTCTGCTTTAAATACTATTCAAAAATTCATGATGAAATTTTTGCAATAACTATTAATTTCGTATTCGTATGATTGAATAATATATTTGCAATCTTTCTGATATTATTAAAATAATCTTAACATATTTTTTTTTATTTTCGTTCAACAAAATTCACTTGAACATTATCATCAACTTCTAATATACTTTAATAGTTTCTTTCGAAATAAAAAAAAAACTAATCCTAGATATGAAGTTCTTTACTAGAAGTTTTTTTCGCAAATCTTCGCTAAAATAGATTGAAAACACAAAAGAAATGTAGGTATTCGCATGGACATGATGTGATCCTTTCACTTCCAACGTATGAAAAGAAAATAACTACGCATTTCAAAAAGGTTTGTATTTAATTGTTCAGTATTTTATTATGCATGTTCAGTAAATTTTTTATCGCACGTTCAGTAGTTCTTATTCAGTAAAAAATTATTATTTGTACAGTAAATAATTCAAGAAGTTCAATGAACAATTTATAAAGTACAGTAATTAATTTAAAAAGATCCAGTAGTTAAGTTTTTTTTGCTCAGTTTTTTAATAATTTATTTCAGTAAAAAAAGTATAATTTTTATCAACAGAAATTCATTGAATCAATAACGCCTTTTTTCAACTATTTTAACATTTTTAGCAGCAGGTGGCGTTTTGCAGTAGTTTAATCGGAATGCCATACCAACAACATGTTTACAAATAAACTTTTTGAAAAATGGTGAACAATTGCACACACCATCTAACCATTTTAATTTATCTACTAGTATAAAGCGAAAGAAAGGACAGGAAAGTAGAAAAAATATTTTGCCTGATGATGTCATCATCAGCCAACATGGACCCATTCTTCTATTTACATCAAAATATTTTCATCGAAAAAATAAAAGTGATTACTGATAAAAATATTACTTGTTACTGAGTAAATGAATTTTTGAATCAGCAAACTGAATTAATTACTGAAACTTTAATTTTAATATGGAGCAATTTATTAATTTACTGAGCAAACAATTAGTTAACTGTACATTGAATTTTATACTGATAGTTTGATTTCTTTACTGAAAATTCGCATACAATACTGAACAAATTTTATTGAACATTTAATTTGTCCCCTTTCAAAAATGATTGGTTTGTTCAGTATATTTGTTAACAAAGTTTCTATCAATATATTTTCGTTTATACGTCATGGCAATCGTACAAAATCAAAGCGAGTGTAAGTTTCATAGTTGTTCTTAATTATAGAACGAAGTTTTTAGAGGAAAAATATCCTATATCTAATTCTGTAATATTGAAATTGTATAAAACCAAATCAACATTCATTCTCTCAAGTAGATAACAAAGTTTGACCATATGTATACCATTGGATAGAACATGTCTTTCTCTTGAAGTCAAACTAAATTCTGTTCTGTAGTCACCTTTGATCAACAAGCAGAGTACTTTTACTTGACGAAAAGAAAAAAGGAAATAATCAATACAGAATGAAAAAATAAGACAGAGCACATGGTTTTCAACATATACACTACACGTTATCTTTATAGTAATAACCAACGAAGCTGAAAATTCGTAAGTATTCTTTTTTTTTGTTTTTTTTTTGAAAAAGTGTATCGATGTTTTAACCAAATATTGATTCTAAAATATATAGGCTTATCGTTCAGTTGATCAAATGATATATAACAATAACGTTAAATATCATCGAACAAAAAAACAGACTAATGTCATTATTATCAGGAATAATACTTATTTTTGCTCTTCTTATCTGTTTTCATTGTTGGACACGTTTATCTAATAGATTACCATTAGGTTTTGTCTATGTACATGATATTATACCAGATATACAAATAAGTTTACGTTATGCAAGTGAAGAAAATTTTATAGGACATATTATTAATGGTTATTTATCAAATGTATCAATAATAACTGAAGCAGCAGCTATTGGTTTAAAACAAGCACAGTTATTAGCAAAAAAAAATGGTTATGAATTAGTTATTTATGATGGATATCGTCCACAAAAAAGTGTTAATCAATTTGTAAATTGGAGTCAAAATTTAAATGATTCACAAATTAAAAAAAAATTCTATTATCCACATATTAATAAAGAAGATTTATTTAAATTTGGTTATATTGCTGAAAAATCTGGTCATACAAGAGGAAGTACAATTGATTTAACTTTAATTTTACTCGGAAAATATGTACAAATTCCTTTAAAACCAATTGAAAGAAATTTAACGGATAATTCAACAATATTCTATTTAGATGATGGTACAATTGATATGGGTTCATCATTTGATTTATTTGATGATGCATCACATACAAATAGTACACTTGTTAACAAAATTTATCAAGAAAAACGCCTAATGTTAAAAAATCTAATGGAACAAGCTGGTTTTATTAATTATGATCAAGAATGGTGGCATTATACACTTAAAAATGAACCATTTCCAGATACATATTTTGATTTTGATATTGAATCATCATGTTCATTTAGAAATCAAAAACAAAATTATTTTTCGACATTTTTTATTCTATTCATAATTTCGTGTCATTTCAAATCGATTGATATATAAACTAAAAATAAATATAAATAATTTGTTTTTGTGTATTTATATTGTTTGTTGTCACGTGCAAGGACGACAATCATAAAAAACACATTAACCTGTATAAAGTAGGCACATATGTTGTGCGTTAGTATTTCGTTTTGTAATTGCATATTACCTTCAAGATACATTTTTATTGAAGTATATCATTGAAACAAGCAAGTAGCATCATATTTGGCTTTAGAATAGGCGATTGAAAAGTTTCGAGAGCAAACATTTGTTCACTAGAATATATTTCCGATAAGGCAAAAGTTATGAGTTAGAACTAGAATTTTGTACTCTTTTTGAATATGAGCTTAGAAATTTGGTCTTAATATTTGTTCAAGAATAATGAAATAATCTTTGAAAAGTCCAAAAAATTAATTTGGGCGGAAAATTTTTCCTCACATCTTTGTATTTTCACTAATATAACTCAAAACTAAAAAGTTCGGATCTTTACTTATATGTCGGCTTGTAGATAAGAGATAATCCTACAAAATGCACTATTGAAGTCTTTGTTTTTGTCTTTGGACAAGGCAGCTCAATTTTCATTTTTCATAAATGCTCATTTTTGAAGGATCAACTTATTGATCAAAAACCGTTTTACGTTGCCAGGAGCTCTTGAATAAAAGCTACAGCTTAGTTCAATACCAGATTTTGTACAAAAAAAAGTGTCAGCTCTACAAAATGACCGACTCCGATAATTTTTAGCATCTTCGAAAAGCGGCGAGCTTATAGAGTAAATGAAGACCTGTTGCTTCACTATTAAAAATAATTTTTCATATCTTTCAAAAAGCCCTGCACTACTCTCAAATAAAAATAGACACGACATTTATAAGTCCAGATTCGAAAAAAGTACAAAATATTGGTTGCGACCTTTAATTTTTGACTCATCAAAAATATTTTCTAACAGGTCACAAGTGAACAAACATCTCTTCTAAAAACCTTTTTGATCCCTCGTTATATGTAAATTATTTAAAACACAAAAAAAAAAATGAATATTTGATTACCATATTTTCAGATTGACTAAAGTAAGAAAAAAAAATCAACGTTTAGCAATGAATACAACAATTGCAAATGAAAATACATTAACAATAAAAAATTCGTTACAAAATTCTATATCAGGTTGAAAATCAAATTTATCACAAGAAAAATAATTTTCACATTTTTTTAAAAGGCTCATTCAATTCAAAAAATCATATTAAATGTGATAACTTATCTTCAGCAAGATATACTGAATCTCTTCCCATTATAAAAACTGATAATGAAGAAACAACACTAATACAATCAAATTTATCTCGTTTTCCTGATAGTACTTTTATTTTTCTCAAAAAATTCATTTTAATGATTATAATTTTTGTTTGTTTTTACATAGTCATGGATATTACTAATATGATTGATGAAAATCTTGATGAAACAAATTCTCGAACAAAATCAATGAGTAGTTCCGAACAAGAAAATATTAATGAATTAGAAGACATAAAAGATCTCACTCAATGGAATGATGCATTGAAAAAATATGAACAAAAACAAGAAAAAATTGAAAATTCTCAAGAAGGTAAACAATTTATCAAATATAAATTAATAGAATTTTATTAATTCTAAGATGAAAAAGTTAATAATACTCCTGTTCTTCCAACATGTTTACCTTCGATTGAAGCAATTCATGTTAATGTACAAGAATTTAAACCAATATCTATTGATGATCCAATATTATTAAGTCTTCGTAATTTATTTATACGTTCATTTGATGAATATTATAAACAAATTGAAGCTCAATTAAATTTAAAATCTGATAAAACTCTTAAAGAATGGCTTGATGAAACATTTAATGATGAAAAAAATTCTATTCTATCTGGAACATATCGTTGTTTTATTTTATGTAGTGATGAATATCAAGATTCAAAAGAAAATGTTTTAGGATTTTTAACATTAAAAGATGAAGGTGAAGGATCAATATATATTGCTCAAGTAGCTGTTCGTCTTGATATTAAACGACGAGGTTATGGAGTTCAATTATTACAACATTTACGTAAAGTTTATCCACCAAATACTCATTATTGGGGTTTATGTCGACGAGCTAATCGACCAGCTTTACAATTTTATCTAAAAAATGGTGCAAAATTTATGAACGATGATGATGTAGCAACGAAATATGGATATGATCCAACATTATATGCCGGTTTTGAATTTCTCGATACTGTTTCGTAATTAAAATTTAACATTGAAAAAAATTGTTTTGTTTTTTCTTCTATTGTACAATTACATTTTTTTAGTGTTATCATTCCACAACTAAAAACAATGGTAAAAATCGAATCAGATGTTAATAATTCTGATCAACAATTAGCAACAACACCGTATGTATTCGAATATTTTTTCTCTCAAACATTCCATAATTAAATATCGAACATATCATGTATTATATCAAATATGTATATTTCTAATTCACTAATACTTAAAATGAAATATCTTCGCGTAGGCTCAATCAAATTAGTGGGATTTTTTTTTGTACGAATGAGCTAAGCAAATAATATGACTATGTATTATTTGCTTGGTATCATGAAAATAATTTTACTTATTATCAAGTAAGAAGAAATCAAAACGATCTATATGCATTAATATAGTTCGTTTTGATTTGTTAGTATTATTCTCTTAGATGACAATAGAAAACTATCTATGAGAGATCTCATATGTATTTTTCTTACTTGATAATAGGTGAAATTTCTTTAGTAAGGCCAAAACTAAAACTTGACAGTAGTATTTGTTTCCATTATCCGTATGAAAAAAAAACTTTTAAATAAATTTCAACCATCAATCAAACAATCCGCTCATTCGAGCGAACTGAAGCGAAAATATTTTGATTTTTTATCGTAATGCTATTTATGACCTACCCTGTATATTTCTTTTGTATAAAATTATTCTGAGAAATGCATATTCATACAGGAGATAAAGCAATCTTTCTTACATTTAATGTCCTCGTCATTTAAGGGCATCCCCTTTGCCCGAGTTTCTCAAGAATGGATCGACCAAAAATGATGAAACTTTCAGAGTAGATAGATCTCGACTAGTAGAGTAAAAGTTATTATAGACTCAGAACTTCCAAATGCTTCCTTCTATAAGATAGAGATAGCACAGTTTGGTCCTAGTTGTCACACAAAAAATTTCAGTTCAAGTGGTCGAAGCGTCTCGAAGAAAAAGTCAGAAAAGTTCAATTTTTCTCTAAAAAAAGTTGATTTTGAGAAAAACACGAAACAATATAAAACGAGATTTTTTTGGATATTTCATGTTTTTCATTTCTATCAATTAATGCACTTGCAAAATGGCTAAGAATATGTATCGCTGACCTACACAACACATTTTGATGATGAAATAACTATATTAATATAGATCATTTACAACACGAAAGAGCTATAGAACGTGATTTTTTGTATAGAGGATCTCTAAAGTCGGTTTTTTTAAGGATCTTTATAAATATGAAAAGTTTTCGTTCATATGCCATTCGATAGAGAACACTTGAATATTTTTTTAAATATAAAAAAACCTAAAATGAAAAAAAAAAGTAAATTTTTGAGGTCAGGAAAAAGGGAAAGATACCTTTAATATTATTATTAGAATTTCTTGGTTTTTTCTTTTCTAGAACACAAAATAATGAAAATCCTTCATTGGAAAGTAATACTGAAGAAAAACAAGAATCAAAGAAAAAGAATCGAACAGAATTAGTTGGATGTTGTATTATATCATGAAATCGAAACTAACATTGTATAAAACTTAGAATTGATTATATTTATTATTTGTCTTATTTGGTTTTTTTGTTTTTATTTCAAATATCATTTGACATGTCTCAATACATATATATATATATTAATCTTATTCGCCATTATAATAAATTTTAGATTTAAAATAAAATGGGTATTGCATCTTATAGACGATTAAAATCAAGATCCTCGGAAGATAAAAATTCTCTTTCATCTTCATCAACTGAACAAGAACAATCAAATGAATCTTTACCTAATGGTATAATACTTGTATGGCTTGATTCACCACCATATAAATCTTTTTCAAATAATGAAAAAAATATTCTTTATTATTTACGTCAATTGAATGTAGCTTCGATTCGAGTCTATAATGATGTTAATTTATGTCTTGATTTTTTAAAATCTATATCATCCGTTGAAAATATTCAATCTTCAAAAATCTTTCTTATTCTATCTGATGAATTTAATTTAGAAATTTTACCTGAATTGAAATCTTTATCAATAGTTAATTCAATTTTTATTTTCTCTATGGATTCAACAAAATATGTAGAATTAATAAAAGAATATGAACCATTTATTATTAATATTTGTACGAATATTGATGATTTGTATAATTGTATTAATAAACAAATTGAAGAACATGATGAATTAAAATTAGTTTTTCATTTTTTTGCACAAAAACAAAATACAACAAGAGATTTAACAAATGATTCTGCTTCATTTCTTTGGTTTCAATTATTTCAAATAATAATAAATGATTTAAAATGTACAGAAAATGATATGAATACAATGCTTAATTATTGTTCAAAACAATTACAAAAAGATAGAAATCCAACAAAAAGTTTATTAGAAATTGAAGAATTTCGTCAAACTTATACAAGTAAAGATGCTATTCATTGGTATACAAAAGAATCATTTGTTTATCGTCTTCTTAATAGATCATTACGTACTGAAGATATTGAAGCATTATATATATTTAGATTTTTTATTGCTGATTTATGTCGACAATTAAAAACTGAACATGAAAAATTACGTACAAAACAAAATCAATCACCAATTTTAACAGTTTATCGTGGTGCACAAATTTCACGTGAAGAATTAGATGATTTATTTGGAACAATTGGAAATTTAACAAGTTTAAATGGATTTGTTTCAACAAGTATAAATCAATCTGTAGCTATAGAATTTTTACGAAAAAAATCATCAAGAACAGAAAATCTTGAAAAAGTTTTATTTATTATTGAAATTGATATTCAATCTGATTATATTATATGTGCTTATATAAAAGAATTAAGTGCATTACAAGATGAAGAAGAAGTTTTATTTAATATAGGAACTGTTTTTTATCTTGATAAAATTGTATTAGATTCTAATGAAAAAATTTGGAATGTTCATATGAAAGCTACAGAAGCTGGTATAAGTGCAGTACATGATTATATTGAATTAATTCATCAAGAATTAACAGATACAAATATTTCAATTATATTTGGACAACTTTTTCTTCAAATGGGAAAATATATTTTAGCACAAAAATATTTTCTTGATTTACTTGAACATTCAAAAGAAAATGATCCAGATTTACCTCGTATACATTATCATTTAGCTTTAACTTATGCTTATCAATATGATTTGATTCAAGCTGAAAATCTTTTAAAACAAGTTTATCAATTTTATAAAATAAATAATACAAATAATCTTGATCTTGCTCGTATAGAAAATGCACTTGGATGGATTCATCATCATAATGGTGAATTAGATGAAGCTATTATTCATTATCAAACAGCTCTTAATCTTGCTCCAGATCAATTAGATTTAAATCATTTAATTAATGCACAAACATGTAGTCTTCTAGCTGATTGTTATCTTGAAAAAAATCAATTAGATAAAGCTGAATTATTTAATAAAAAAACATTAGAAATTGAACGTCTACGTTTACCTACTGATCATCCTCGAATTGGTGTTACACTTAATGATATAGGTGATGTATTTCGTAAACGAAAACAAATGAATATAGCATTGGATTATTATCAACAAGCTGAATCAATTTTTCATCGAAGTTTACCAAAATATCATCCTTATATAGCGTATTGTTGGTCATGTATGGCTTTTGTCTATCTTTATGATGAAAAAATAGAACAAGCTCAAGAATATCATGAAAAAGCACTACAAATTTATCGACATGTGTTACCATCCGACCATATAAACATAAAGATAAGTGAAAAAAATTCACAATGTACAGATTTTCAAAAAATAAACGATGCTTATGTTAAAGTTTGTTCACAAGTTTAATAATTTCTTTTTCTTTTTTTTTTTGTTTTTGATATATCATTTAAAAATAACTTTTTCTTTTATATTAATATTTAACAATTAGATGTAGTTCATTCTTGAGTATTCGTTTTGTTTGAATGTAGTTCAAAATAAATATAAGAATAAATTACTTCCTCAATATTATTCAACAAAAAGATATAAGGCACTTCAAATTATGAAAGATGATGCATAAAGTCATTCGAATTTTTTTTCTAATAGTAAAGATAATAAAAGTATTAAAACATTAAAGGAATTACATCGACAAATAATGGCTGATTTACGTTCTTTAGATATCAATGTTGTAATCATCAATTTTGGTACCATTGGTCTTGATTTTCCTGATATCGATCATTACAATAATGACAACTCAAAATTCTAACAATATTTATTTAATTAGGATAATTTCTATGTGAACATTTTTTTTTGTCTTTCAATTAACTGAAACATGATTTTTGCTTAATTAATATCAGATGCAAACAATTTTTTTATTCATAATAAAAAACTGAAAACATGAAAAAACGAATTATTCACATCATAATAATTTTAGAAATTCTTCAACTTTTATTTAATATATAAATCTCATACTTCGATTTTTACAGATGTTATTTATCATTGGAATGTTTCATAAAAGTATATTGAACATGTGACAAGATATTTTTATTATTCAAAAGATAAATAAAAGAAAGAAAAACAAACAAACCAAAAAAAAAAGTTATATAATGATATAAGAAATTCAGTAATCATCATCATAATTAATTGTTTGTGTTATACTAATCATATCAGAATCAAATCTAGTAAAATTAGTATTACTATTATTATTATCATTGAACCACCACCACCATGATGAATTATTAATAATCGGTTGTTCAAGCCAATAAATATCAAAAGCATAGAAAATTAAAGTAAAGATAAACATACCAATAAGACACGTAAATAAAGCCATACAAATTAATCGTATTAATTTATGAAATATCCAACATATACACGAATCATTAGATTCTTCTAATAGTAAATTTTCATCTCTATAAATGATATTATTTTTTTTTTTTGCATTTAACAATAGATATTCATACTCTTTATTTTCCTGTTCATTGAATTGAATTAATGATGATTTTTTTGTATCATCGAATGTTTTCGTTTGTTCGATTGATGATTCTGTCATTGATGGTGGCAAAACTAAGCTTACCGTAGGTCTATGTACAACATGCTACGAAAAATATTCGATGAAAAAAAAATCAACTTACTGTTTCACTAGTGGATTCTCCATTTGATGAGAATTCATAAAACCGATAGTTGACATACTACGAGATGGTACTTTTGAATGTGATAATGATTCTACATCATGTATATTATTGTATACACTTGTAGATGGTAATGATTTTTCGACTTTCAAGCTACAAAAATTGATTAAAATGACATAACATGTGAGAGATGTCACTAAATTATGAATACTCTTTCGAAAACTAATCTCATTAATATTTGATCGAATGAATTGAAAAATAAATAAAAATAATATTTCAATATCAGACAATATTTACCAATAAAGAGACATTTAAAAACCAAAGTAAATTCTATTCGTACAAATGGCTCAACAAGAAAATACTTCCCAATAAACCAATACAAATCTAGTCTGTCATCATCCAATTCTCATATACAATTATTTTTTTACTTTAAACTAAAACTAATACTTACATATCCATAATCACAAGAACAAACTTTATTTGAAAAAAAGAAACCACATCCAATAAATATACTTTTTCTTGCTTTGTTTTTTTTTTTTTTTTGACATAACTCATCCATCATATTGTTATCTATTTCAACATTGTCTATTAATTGTGACTTGATAAAAATCAAAAACCAAAAAAAAAGAAACAATGCAACGTCGTTCTGTTCCACGTACAGATCCACGTTATAATCAATTACGTTCAAAAAATAATGATAGTGTTAAAAAATCTCGTGAAAAATCTCGTCGTGAACGTGATGAAACAATGGAATCAATAAATCAATTAGAAGAAGAAAATCAAGAATTAAGTGAACGTATAAGAATACTCAAACAAGAATACGAACAATTACAAGATTTATTTAAACAACATACAGGAATTTCTATTAATGAAGCTTTATCATCTCAAATAAATTCAACTTCAAATTCAACTTTAACATCTTCAATACAACCAAAACCAATTGAAGAATCAAAACAAAATACATCTAAACCTATATTAAAAATAAATACAGATGAAGATAAAACAAATGTTACTACATCATCAGATACACAACTTGATCCAAACAGTCTTGATGGAGCTATTGTAATTATTAATGGTGTTCAATATAAAATTGTTAGCATGAATAAAAATTAAAATATTCTTCTTTATTCTATTATATATGAAATCAATTCTTGCTTGATGTTTTTCTTTTTTCAGATGAATTCTTCTGTATATATTTTATGTATTCTCTTCTTTATATTTATACAATTAGTTAAAAATCAAGAAACATCATCAGCTGATAATAATAATAACAATAATAGAAGAAAAAAACAAGATTTTTATTGTTCAGGTATGAAGATAAAATATATTTGTTATTTTATTTTATTTTTTTCTTTTAGCATGTAAATCAATGAGTGAAACAATATTTCGTGATATGAATAATGCTGATCCAAATGAACGTGTTCAAGTTGGATCATATCG